TGTTCGAGTGGCACTTGAGAAACCGCGACTAGCTGGGCACGCGTATACGTGCATGTGTGCGCGGGTGTGGAGCACGTGTGTGAGTGAGTGAATATCGGTCAAGTGGTCTTCAGGTCACCAAGTGGAATAGCCGCCTGCAAAGACACATGACGTTGACGGCCGCGGGCATTGAAGAACGAAGGGGGGGACAGGCATTGTGGCCGTCCGCCACACATCTGATGGCAAACGTCCTGCAGTGAATATCTTTAACAGACGCTAAAGTACCTCAACGACCAGGACGTGTCGCCTTGATTTGCATTCTTTATCTTAACAAAATAAAAGTTAAATAAAAGGAGTTCTGACGCATGTGGGTGATATCCAAATATTCTGCACCGATTAAAAAATTGGACACTAAACTCTGCAACTTCGGCTCGTGCTCGAAAACAAAATTTCCAACAGTTAAAACGAAGAATATCTCCTGTAGACAGAAGAACATTCCAGCGGCTAGAATTATAGACAGAACAACATTATTGGAAAATACGAGGGAGACTGAAACGACCATTTATGGCGCATTAGCCGTCATCGGCCAGTCATGCCGAACTCCAGTTGTTTCAATAGCTAAGGCCGAGTTAATTTTAATATAGTGAGCACTAATCATTAATAGCCACATAGGGTAGAACTCTTGTCAGATAGCCATCAAGACTTTTACTTCCTTCTTAGTTGAACACAATGTTGGCTCCGTTTGGCCCCCCGGTTCATACTCTCTCCTGACCACGATCCGCGAGAACACCACAGAAGCCTGTCCGCCAGGCTTTACTCTGGATCTGCGAACGAATATCCAGCCGGATATCCTCGCAAATACCTTCTTCCGACCGATGAGTTTCGCTGAATACTTCGTAGAGAAGACGCCCGACATCGGTGTGAACGGAAGCATGCCATTCTTGCATATCTGCAAACGAAACCCTCTGGACCTGGCCAACGTAACTTCAGACGCTGCGCGTGCTGCCTTCTGGCCAAGTGGAAACTATTGTGTCCTCATGGATTTGGCCGACTGGCGGTGTCCACAAGGTATTCCTTCATTCTATAACCACCCACTACCAGCTATTATGCAGGTGTACGGGCGCGAATGGTACGTATTAAGTGGGCCTTCAAATCCTATCCCCTGTCGCGTTACATTTCTTCTTTAGCTGGCCGCTGGTATAATATGGGGTTGAGCGAGTTCTTCGTAATAAACAAACGCACTTTTAAGCCACCGGAGGATGCAAACGTTCGTGACTTTGTAGGCTGCGAACAGAAGAGACGTTTTGCGTTCCTCCGAGGTGCAGGAGTTCAAACTGCAATGGCTTACTCCTTATATGTCCCTTCATTCCCTCCGCTGTGTTAGGTCCGTTCAGCCCTCACTGAAGATTCGCTCATTTCATTTGAGTTGACCCAATTGTGAAAAAGCTCGAGGCGTTCGGCGGGATTTGAAGCCACATAGTAGAGAAGGCCTTTACGCGAAGCCAACGCTATAATTGAGC